TAGCCTTTATTTTTTAGCCCACACCGACGCATAAACAAAAAGCACACTCACTCACTCACTCACTCTCACTCGTACACTTCTTTCTCTCTCTACTTTCACTGGTCGAAGCGGACGACTGACGACAAACTCCGAGCTGGCAAAAGATTCCTTCACCGCCTTCTTCTTTTTTCCTTTCCTTTCTTCTTCTTGTTGAACCCTAATTCGATTTTTTTTTCACAAGTTGTTAGGAAATTTTGATGGGGTTTGAGTTTTTTTGTGTTTTGAGTTGATGGGTATGATTTTCTTCAGCTTTTGGTGAAACCCATTTCAGTAATCGGTGGTTTGATTTGGTTTTGTACGAGGGGTGTGTGTGGATGGGCTGTTCGAGCTCTAAGGTCGATGAGCTTCCGGCGGTGGCGCTCTGTCGGGAGCGTTGTGCGTTTCTTGATGAAGCTATTCATCTTAGATACTCACTTGCAGAGGCTCACATGGCGTATATTCAATCCCTTAAAGGGATTGGTCATTCGTTGCATAATTTCATTGAAGAGAGCGTTGTTGTTGTTGGTGTTTCTTCTGGGTCTCCTCTGTCGCCGAAGCTTAATCTTCCTCCTCATCGGAAGGGTGATCCTGCAATTGAAGAATCTGCTTCTCCTCATCACCATCTCTCTCACTCTAATTCCGGTTCCCACCTCCATTTTCACTCCGATTCCGATGATGAATCCGGTTCCGATCGCTCCCCGCCTTTCGACCTGCAGCACGGCGGCCATATGGGTTATATGCTTCCGGATCAGGGTGGTTTAGGTTCATATCCCGGCGGCGGTGGCGGTGGTGGTGGTGGTGGCGGAGGTGGAGGGTATATGCATATGAATTACATGAAGAAATCGGTGACACCCTCTGTGGTGTACGAGCAGAGGCCTATGAGTCCAGAGAAGGTTTATCATGTCGGTGAATCGTCTTCTTCTTCAGGGCATTACCCTTATCCTTACCCGAACATGCCTTATAACAATCCTTATCCTTCTTATGGTTACCCCCAAGACGGTGGTGGGTATTATGGTGGCTCTGTTTTTCCTCCTGCATATGGTTCAATGCCATCTGCCGGAGCTTCAGGTTCGTCGTCTAAGCCACCGCCGCCGCCGCCTTCACCTCCGAGAGCTTCCGCTTGGGATTTCTTGAACCCATTTGAGACTTATGACAAGTATTACAATGCTTACACGCCGAGCCGGGACTCGAAAGAGGTAAGGGAAGAAGAGGGGATTCCTGATTTGGAAGATGAGGATTACCAACATGAGGTTGTTAAGGAGGTACATGGGAATCAGAAACTTGTCGACGAAGGTGGCGGTGGTGATGGCATTGGAAAGGGTACGAAGATAGCTGCAGAGGATGAGCGTGGGGGTGGTGATGATCCAACGACCTCGCTTTACAAAACGAGGCCGAGCGCTGCAGTTGAGGACGATGCTGTCGAATTTGAAGTTCGTATGGTTGATAAGAAGGTTGATAAGGCGGAGAAGTCTGAGGAGCAAGGCAATGGTGGTGCATTCAAGGGCAGGCCTGGCTCACGAGATGCCTATGAGGTTGCTAGAGAAATCGAGGTTCAGTTCGAGAGGGCATCCGAGTCCGGTAATGAAATCGCCAAAATGCTAGAGGCTGGCAAGCTTCCTTATCAGCGCAAACACGGTGAGTATTATAGCTTAGATCCATTAAATAATATGTTTTTGCTTGATCTGGTAGATTTGAAAACTTTAGACGGCTATTGTTTTTCTGTTCATGAACCTAACATTTGGATTTCTTGCAGTGTCGTCGAAAATGCTGCACGTTGTCGCTCCTTCGCTATCGATGGTAGCTTCCCAACCTTCGACGTCGAAGAGTGCCGATCCTTCGTCTTCTGCAGCTGAGTTAAGTTATATCGAAGAGTTTGGGATGGCGTCTGGAAACCTGTCTTCTACCTTGAGGAAGCTGTATCTGTGGGAAAAGAAGCTCTACAATGAAGTTAAAGTATGATATACTCTGCCATTTGGGTTCATCCTTTCAAAGCTTTTGATACATACATTGCATTATTATATATATGGGACCTACTTCTTTCAAAACTAAGAATCAAAGCTTTTGATTGAACAGATACAAGAAAAACTGCCCAGAAATGTGGACTGTTAAGCTAATTGTCGTTTTCGTAGCTCTAGGATGTTATCCGAATCTCGAGTTTCTGGAAATCCGTTTTGTTGTATCTGTGGATCTTCAATTTATATCAGCGTTTTCGTGTCAGTTTCAGTAGTTTAGATATATTGATGGGGTTTACGATCATGTTCGTCGAGGTTTAAAGTTTGTGCTTTAATGAATTGTGTTCTTAGGCGGAAGAAAAGATGCGGGTAATTCATGAAAGGAAGTGTCGAAAGCTGAAGCGTTTAGACGAGAAGGGTGCTGAAGCTCATAAAGTTGATACCACTCAAGCTTTAGTGAGGAGCCTATCTACGAAAATCCGAATCGCCATTCAGGTGGTCGACAAGATATCCATGACGATCAATAAGATTCGGGATGAAGAATTGTGGCCACAACTGAATGAATTGATTCATGGGTATGTGTAGTTCTTCAGAGCGTTCCATGTCGTCCCAAATTCCTTTCTCATTAGTTCCTTTGCATTTCAGGTTAACCAGGATGTGGAGGTGTATGCTCGATTGCCATCGTGCCCAGTTCCAAGCGATCAGTGAATCGAAAAGCTTAGGTCCCATTGGATCGGGTAAAAATAACAGTGAAGCGCATCTTGGAGCGACCAAGGAGCTTGAGCACGAGCTTCTAAACTGGACAATCAGCTTCTCTAGTTGGATCAGTGCGCAAAAAGGGTACGTTAGAGCCTTGAATAACTGGCTTCTGAAGTGTCTTCTGTATGAACCCGAGGAAACGCCAGACGGTATAGCTCCCTTCTCACCTGGAAGAATAGGTGCACCTCTCGTATTCGTGATCTGTAACCAATGGTCACAGGCTTTGGATAGACTCTCCGAGAAGGAAGTAGTTGATTCGATGCGTGTGTTTAGTATGAGCGTGCTTCAAATATGGGAACACGATAAGCTAGAATTGCGACAGAGAATGCTGGAAAACAAAGATTCGGAGAGAAAGGTTCGAAACTTGGACCGAGACGACCAAAAGATACAGAAACAGATTCACGCTTTGGACAAGAAGATGGTGATGGTTTCTAAAGATGAGAAGCGTGTCTCCGTTTCTGGAAACGCTGTGTATCAAAGCGAGATGAGCAATAGTAGCTTGCAGTCTAGTCTGCAACGCATTTTCGAGGCCATGGAGAGGTTCACCGCGGATTCCATGAAAGTGTATGAAGAGCTTTTACAACGGAGCGAGGAAGAAAGATTGAATCGCGAGCAGGAAAAAGTCCTATGAGGCTCTTTTTTTTTTCTCAATGATGCTTACTCTGGATATATGGAATCATGCTACTTCATCTGGTTGACGTGTTGTCATATTCGATCGAGCAACCGTTGGTCGATGATAGAATGCTAGCGGGAAAGCTAAACAACCGATCCAAAGCTGCTAACTAGCTAGCACACTCGCACCGTGCTAGCCAAAGACAGACTCCTGCTCCAGCTGAGGTGAAAAGTACTCGTTTTTTCTCCACCAACAGTCGAGTGACTCGAATTCTCGGGTTGACGTGCGAGGAGCAGAAGTGGTCATTATCGTTGGTTCTGTAGCTTTGGGTTGTTTTTTGACAGTGATGCAGAAAAGTCATGAAGATGAAATATCTGTATTTTTAAAAAGAAAAATTTCAGAACTTTTTTGTGTTTAATCTTTGGGTTATTTTTCTGTGTATTCAATTATTGTACATAAGAAAAACCATTTTTGATAGCAGCAAGAGTCTTTTCCGGTTTGACTCGTTATTCTCTAGTTGATTCCACCACTAGTAAATATTGTCTATTTGTTCCGTTACATATCGCCGTGAGCTTCACAGTTTTAAAATGCATGACTATTGAACTTATTTGCTATAATGGTACAATATTAATCTTTTGGACGTAAGTTCACACGCATAATTTTCTTCACTTTTAACAGATATGGGTTATCTCATATTAGTTGCAAAAGATGCAAAGTAGACACTCATTTGACATCAATAAGTGATATCAGATGCATGCAGTTTTGCCATATATGAACGATCCACGTTAGTTAGAGAGGGAATGAAACATTCCTTATAAGAGTGTGGAAACATCTCTTTAGTAGACGCGTTTTAGAATCGTAAAGTTTGACTACGATACGTAATGAGTCAAAGCGGACAATATCTATTAGTAGTTAGCTTGTGCTGTTACAAATAGTATCAGAGCCAAATACCAGGAGTTTACCAGTGAGGATGCTGGCCCCCAAACAGGGTAGATTGTTAGATCCCACATCGGTTGGAGAAGGGAATGAAGCATTCCTTATAAGGGTGTGGAAACCTCTCTCTCGTAGACGTGTTTTAAAACTGTGAGGTTGACTACGATACGTAACAGGCCAAAACGGATAATATCTGCTTGTGGCCAGCTTGAGCTGTTACAAATGGTATAAGAGCCAGACACCAGGTGGTGTGCCAGTGAGGACGTTGAGCCCCCCTGAAATCCCACATCGGTTTGAGAGAGGAACGAACATTTCTTATAAGGGTGTGAAAATCTCTCCCTAGTAGACGCGTTTTAAAACCATTAGGTTGGCTGCAATACATAACAGGCCAAAGCAGACAATATCTATTTGCGGTTAGCTCGAGCTCTTACATTATTAGGTCGTTAAGCAGGTACAGACACAGGCAAGACATTAAAGCTATTATCTTCATAACATTCAATGGCAATCAGGTCTCTCTTATCAAGAACACCGCTAGATTCATGAACAAGTTCATTGGTTCTTTGTGTATGCAGAGAAATAAATAAGAAACAGAAAGATATTGCATTCTCTGTAAGCTGTATGCATGGTGTGCAGGAGACATGCTTCTCTTCGTAAGAGACAACCATCTAAGTTTTCATGGCTGTCTTTTCAGCAAACTAATAGCCTTTAAACAAAAGCAAATATTAACAGCTTACAGGCCAGGTTTTAACATGGTGGAAGGGAGACATAGCAGGAATATAGCTGACATGGTGTTTCAAATCCATATTCCAATCATTTAGTTTAGGTTCCTTCTGCCCCTTGGCCTTAGTTATATAAACTTCCCTCATGCCAGAAAGTGACCATAAACAGAACTGATTAAGATGGATTTCTCTGCTATGAACCAAACAAACTCTCATCATGTTCGCTCGAACAGCTTGCCCTCAAAGCTGCACCCGTTCATCGATCAAGTCGATGAACATTTACACAGATTGAAGGAGGCTTCAGAAGCTACATCTTCTTGTTCTTCATCTGAACTAAGCCATAAACTAAATGGCCTTCAGGAGTTACATGATTACATTGATAAGTTGCTTTTGTTACCTCTCACACAACATGTTCTTGTTGAAGATAGTGATACGAAACCGTTCGACGACTTACTCAAAGGATCTATCAGACTCTTGGATTTGTGTGACATAGCTAAGGATGCATTGCTGCAGACAAAAGAATGTGTGCAAGAACTAGAATCAGTTTTGCGCAGAAGAAAGGGAAGTGAAACATTCATAGCAAGTGAGCTTCAGAAATGCCTAAGTTCTAGGAAGTTGATAAAGAAAACAATCTATAAAGCCTTAAAGACAGTTCAAACCAAAAGTTGTGAGAAAACTCAAGCCACTCCAGCCATTGTTAGCTCGTTGAAACAGGCCGAGTTCGTCGGTTACAACGTCGTTGAATCCTTGTTGTCTTTCCTAGCAGGACCGAAGTTTCGATCGAATTCGAGCCGTTGGTCTCTTGTTTCCAAGCTTGTGCAATCCAAAAGGGTAGCCTGTGAAGTTGAAGAAACAAGTAGAAACGAAGTGGCATTGGTTGATGCTGCATTACATTCAGTTTGCAGTCAAAAAACAAAGAAACATGATTTCTTAGCTCAAGTTGAGAATTTGCAGAGCTCATTGAAGATGTTTGGATCAAACATTCAAGAACTCGAAGGCGATCTCGAGGCTCTATACCGACGCCTTATTAAAACCAGAGTCTCAATCCTTAATATCTACAACTACTAGCTGTAGTATCATGGCCAAACCCATGAGTATCCATTTTTGTAGACTGTAAAAAAACAAACAGTAAATATACAAACGTTGTTCTCAATTTATGGTTTCATGCATGTTCTTGGGCTCTAATTTTGCCATTACTTTAACCATTCCAATAATCAGGCCTGATGAACTGACAAGAACAAAATCATCAACTTTTTCCTAGCTAAAGTTCAACTAATGATGGAAGTTTGCCAGCTATTGAAATTCTATTTGTCATAAGCCTCGATCTATAATGATATTGTCTCTCACCTTCATGACAATTTGATCTAATAATTTGATATAATAATTTTGGATCTTCGCATCTCTTTCACCTCAACCAATCCATTATTGATTGATTAAGAAATCAAGTTTTGTTTTTGAGGGGTACCCACCAAAAACAATGCAGAGTATGTAGTTTTAAACACGAATATAATCTTGCAAGTGATTTTGATTTCATAAGAGGTCATGTTTGTCTAAGACGTGTTGTTCATGGCTGCATGCCAAATCCCTTGTATGACAGCAAGTTTAAGAAACGTCCAAGCCCGCCGCTAGCAGATATTGTCCTCTTTAGCCCGTTATGTATATCAGTCAACCTCACGATTTTAAAACGTGTCTTCTGGGGAGAGGTTTCCACACCCTTATAAAGAAATGCTTCATTCCCCTCTCCAACTGATGTGGAATCTCACAATCTACCCCCTTAGGGCCCAACGTCCTCGTCGGCACACCGCCCAGTGTCTAACTCTGATACCATTTGTAACAGCCCAAATCCACCTCTAGCAGATATTGTCTGCATTGACCCGTTACGTATCGTCGTCAACCTCATGGTTTTAAAATACGTCTACTAGGGAGAGGTTTTCACACCCTTATAAAGAATGCTTCATTTCCCTCTTCAACCAATGCGGGATCTCACAGTCACTCCCCTTGAGGGCTAGCATTCTCACTGGTACACCACCTGATGTCTGACTCTAATATCATTTGTAACAGCCCAAGTCCACTGCTAACAGATATTGTCCGCTTTGGCCCGTTACGTATTGCCATTAGCCTCACGGTGTTAAAACATATATGCTAGGGAGAGGTTATCATACCCTTATAAAGAATGCTTTGTTCCCCTCTCTAACCAACGTGGGGTCTCACAATCCACCCTCCTTGGTGGCCAGCGTTCTCGCTGGCACACTGCCCAATGTCTAGCTTTGATACCATTTGTAACAGCCCAAGTCCACCACTATATTATGCACTTCGACCCGTTACATATCACCACCAGCCTCACGGTTTTAAAACACATTTACTAGGGAGGACTATCTACTGAAAACGAAACTTCACGCGTGCACTTGTGTGTTTATGACTTTCATGAATAAGACAAGGCTGTCTCTTACAAATAGCAACAAACAAATGGATCGTTCAAACAATATCTATTAAAAAAAGGCACATAATTGAATAAGATCCATTCGTGTGATTATGGAGAAAATACAATGAATGCCGGTGAGTAAGAACCTGGTTGGAGGGAGACATTAGTTGGACATAGCTGAGACGGTGATTCCCCTTGTTTCTTCAACACTCTTATATATACCACCATCATTGCAAAAACATGAACCCAAATCAAAATTACTTGACTCATTGGTAACTCGATCACAGAAGGAAGATGAGAAACTCTCAGCATGTTCGTTCAAAGAGTGTGCCTGAAAATCCAAACCCAATCATCAGCCAAGTAGATGAGCAACTGAGCAGATTAAAGGATTCTGAAGCCCCTTCTTCTCTATGCATCAGACTAGGCGCCCTTCAAGATTTGCACGAGTCCGTGGATAAGCTGCTTCTTTTGCCTCACTCCCAACAAGCTCTGGTTCAAGTGAGTGACAAGGAAGGGCTGGATGACTTACTAGAAGGCTCTCTCAGGCTTCTGGATTTGTGTGACACAGCTAAGAATGCCTTGTTGCAGACAAGGGAATGCATATATGAATTAGAGATGGTTTTGCGTAGAAGGAGAACTGAAATGGGGATTTCTAGTTCAGTTCAGAAGTGTTTAAGTTCCAGGAAGATGATAAAGAAAGCAGTCCATGAAGTGTTGAAAATGGAAAGAAAACAATGTCATAAAGATAATGGAAGTCAGCTAAAAGAGGTTGAAGCAGTCACATACCACAGCATAGTAGCCTTATTGTCCTTCATAGCAGGAGCCAAGTTTCCAGCAAAATGGAGCTGCTGGACTTCAGTTTCCAAGCTTGTTAAATCCAAAAAAGTGGCCTGCATAAGCGAAGAAACAAGCATAAGTGTTGTAGAAAGGTTGGATTTGGCTTTGAGTTCAATTGCCAATTACAGAACTGACAAGGAATTCCAAGTTCAAGTTGAAGATATGCAGAGCTTGCTCAGGGATTGTGGAGCAAGCATTAAGGAAGTTCAAGAAGAGCTTGAGAGTCTTTATAGGTTCATAATCAGAACAAGAATCTCCCTTCTTAACATCTTCAACCACTAAATGGGAAAGATTAGAGCCTGACGGTCTCGAATTTTGAAAAGAGTTGAACAATATCATGTAGATCACTTGAGGATGTTTGTTCTTGAATGAATATGTATAAATATACACATATGATACTCTATTTTTAGTTTAATGAAAAGCCTTTCGCAACCCTGCTAAATTCTGAGTTTTTTCCATCCTTTTTTCCATAATATAAAGGACTGTTCAACATCCCATCTGGGGAGAGAAATATACTAATCAGGGTGAACACAAGCACAATAAAAGAAACCGAAGTAATAAAATGTGAGATTCCATATCGGTTGGGGAGGAGAATGCAAAGAATGAAGCATTCTCTATAGGGGTGTGAAAATCTCTCCCTAGCCGATGCGTTTTAAAAACCTTGAGGGGAACCCTGAAAGGCAAAGTCCAAAGAGGACAATATTTGCTAGTGGTGGGCTTGACCGTTAGAAATGGTATCAGAGCCAGACACTGAGCAGTGTTCCAGCGAGAACGTTGGACCCCCCAACGGGGGTGGATTGTGATATCTCACATCGGTTGGAGAGGGGAATGAAACATTCCTTATAAGAGTGTGGAAACCTTTCTCTAATAGACGCGTTTTAAAATCGTGAGGTTGACGGCAATACGTAACGAGCCAAAGCGGACAATATCCACTAGCAGTGGGCTTGGGTTGCTAGGGAGAGGTTTTTACACGCTTATAAAGAATACTTCGTTCCCCTCTCCAACTGATGTAGGATCTCACAATCCACCCCCCTTTGGGGCCCAGTGCTCTCGCTGACACTCATTCCCTTCTCCAATCATCAATCCACCCCCTTTCGGGACCTAGCGTCCTTGTTGGCACACCACCTTGTGTCTACCCCCCTTCGGGGATCAGCCTCCTCGCTGGCACATTGCCCAGTGGTTGGCTCTGATACCATTTATAACAGCTCAAGCCCACCACTAGTAGATATTGTCCACTTCGGCCCATTACGTATCGTCGTCAGCCTCACGGTTTTAAACGCGTCTGCTAGGGAGAAGTTTCCACACACTTATAAAGAATGTTTCATTCCCCTCTCCAGCCGATGGTGATCTCACACCAATAGTCTGGGGGTACAGAGGCAGTCTACAAAAGAAGATGTGCTTTAGAATAATCCATAAGGTCTAAAATTAAACGCCTTCTAACCAGAAAGTTTGTATAAGCAAGTAGTTCTATAAAAATCAGGCATTCGTGTGCAAGGAGGTGTGATTGATAACATAAACGAGTCAGCCTTACTTTCTGATACCAATTATGTCAACAGCACTCGTGGGCTTCAAATTTAAGCATCTCCAGAGAACAAATTGCAGATTATATGTATGAAATAAGGCAGTAAGTACATAAATAATGAGCTAAGAACCTGGAAATGGGGTGAGATTTGGTAAACATTGCTCGACATGTTATTGAAAACAGATAGATAAGTTGATGTACAGGCCAATAAATTAATCCAAGCGTCCCCCAAGATTGCATGACTCCTTCAATGATCAAAACTCAATTTTAATTAGTTCATGAGTTGGAAAGATGGTGGAGAAGAGACATCACCAAACATTACAGCTAAGAAGTTTAGATCCAAACCAGAAGCAGCTTACAATATAATTGAATACTCAGTAGTCATGCATGACTCTGTTCCATTTCTTTATAGCAATAAAATCTCATCATTTGGCAGATACATGCATGTGAGTATAAAGAAATCATGGAAACAAGTGGAAGGGAGGCATGGCATGAAAGTAGCTGAAATGGTTTTTTAGATGAACATGAGATTCCTCGTGTCTGTCTAACCCAAGTTGTATATATATATATGCTTCCCCTGATGCTCAAAGATGAATACAGAGTGAAATTCTCAACCCTTTTCAGGTCATTAGCTAGCCTTTTGGCTTCTCCAAGCGAGAAAGAAAATGGATTCCTTTGCTGTAAACCCAAGGAAAACACTCCACATTCGCTCAAATAGCTTACCCTCAAAGCCACATCCAATCGTTTCCCAAGTTGAAGAACATTATTGCAGATTGAAGTCCTCTGAGGCCAGTTCTTCAACTTCTTTATGCCACAGACTCAGCAGCCTTCAAGATTTGCATGATTCCATTGAGAATTTACTTCTTCTACCATGCACCCAACAAACTCTTGTTCATGAGACTCATAATAAATGGGCTGATGACTTGCTAGAAGGATCTCTAAGGCTCTTAGATTTGTGTGATATTGCTAAGGATGCATTGTTGCAGACACAAGAATGTAGCCATGAACTTGAATCCGTTTTGCGCAGAAGAAAAAGTGAAACAGTTATCATAAGTGGTGTTCAGAAATGCTTGAATTCTAGGAAGATGATAAAGAAGACAGTCCACAAGGCCTTGAAGGGAATTAAGAGCAGAAATTCTCAAAAAAGTGAAGAAAGCTCAGCAATTGTTAGCTTGTTACAAGAAGTGGAAGCAGTCACATATAGCACTGTTGAGTCAGTATTGTCGTTCATAGCAGGACCAAAGGTGCCATCAAAGATGAGCCGATGGTCTTTGATCTCCAAGCTGGTACAACCCAAAAGGGTTGCCAGCAAAGATGAAGGTGCATATGCAAACGAGGTGGAAATGCTGGATGGCATACTATATTCAATAGCTAGCCACACAATAGATGAATCCTTCAGCTTGCAGGAGTCGCTGAGGAAGTTTGAGTCGAGTATTCAAGGTCTTGAAGAAGATCTAGACAGTCTAAATAGGCATCTCATAAAAAATAGAGTATCCCTTCTCAATATCTTGAATCACTAATGGCAATGCCATGAGAAATCAATTTTGCTAAATGTAAAGATCAAAGTGTATATATATACCTTTCTAGTGTTATGAGAATCTAACTCTTTGAATCTAATTCGAGTTTTGAGTTTAGTATAAATATCTTCCCTGGTAAGAATTACGAATCTCCACAATGGTATGATATTGTCGAAAAGGCCTCATACCAATAAAGATGTATTCCTTAGTTATAAATTCACCGTAACTCGTTAGGTTAACTAGGGGTCAACAACTGTGGTTACCTCTAGGGTTCAACAACTGTGGTTACCTGATGTAGCTAAGTATCAAGATTAGCGTTGCTGTCAGATTCCAATTGCCCCAATAATGGCGATAAGCACAAGAAGCACATGGTAAGTTGCCTTTCAACTAAGAGACAATTTACCCAATTATATATAGTAAAGCTGAACAGTTTCCTGTTAATGAAAGTCATCTCGAGCGATCATGGCGGATCTTGCCACCTCTACCACAATAATCACCATTTCAACTGATTGATCAAGGAGTTGCTTGAATAGAGTACAGTGAAGACATTTGTGAGATCCCTCATCGGTAGGGGAAGAGAACGAAACATTAAAGTGTGGAAACCTCACTCTAGTAGACGCGTTTTAAAAACTATGAGGGGAAGCTCGAAAGGGAAAGCCCAAAGAAGACAATATCTTATAGCAGTGGACTTGGGCAATGTGCTAGCGAGGAGGCTGAACCTCGAATGGGGGTGGACATGAGGCGGTGTGCCAGTAAGGACGCTGAGCCCGGAAAGGGGTGGATTGAAAGGTCCCACATCCATTGTAGAAGGGAACGAGTGTCAGCGAGAACGCTAGGCCCTGAAGGGGGTGGATTGTGAGATCCCACGTCGGTTGGGGAGGAGAACGGAATATTCTTTATAAGGGCGTGGAAACCTCTCCCTAACAAACGCGTTTTAAAAACATTGAGAAGAAGCCCGAAATGGAAATGCTAAAGAGGATAATATTTACTAGCGGTGGATTTAGACTATTATATCATCCGAATGATTGTTTTAGAAGTAATTTTATCAAATTCAATAAGCCAGCACCATTCCTTTCTGGATGTTGCCAACAATGTCAACAGCACTCGTGTGCATTCATAATTTACAAGTTGTTCGACAATCTATAGTAGAATAAAAAGCATATTATAAAGGGCATTGAGCAAGCAAGAGAAATACCTGGATATGGGGGAACACATCGCAAACATTGCCATGATATCTCTGAAAAATAGATAATTAATTCAACGAAGAAGATTCCCACACGCTTGCATGTGTAAAGCAACATCTTGTCCTCTGCAGAATGAGACCCAGATCAGCATTTTCAAGACGAGCCAACAAAACTGATGCCACTGCCTCGAATACAGAAAGATGCTCGCTCCTGCACCAAGAACACGTGTGAGCAAACTGGCAGACACTTAATTTTCAGTTTTTTAAAGAAATGGATCATGTGTCAGATACATCCATTTGAATATAAAGAAATTAGCATTAATAATGGTGGAGATAAGGAAAGGGTGGGAGGGGAGCATGCCATGAACATTGCTGCATTATTTGTTTCTGCAGAGATGAGCCTGAGATTCCGCATGTCTCCCTCAGCCAATATAAATAGGCCTCTGAGGCCAAAACATGGAAGTCAAGTTGTAACTGCTTTAGCTGTTCTTTTGTAAAAAAAAAAAAAAAAATGGATTCCTTTGCTACAAACGCACAGAAATCATTCCACATCCGTTCAAACAGTTTGCCTTCAAAGCCACATCCAGTTGTGGATGAAGTTGATGAACATCTCTGCAGATTGAAGGCCTGTGAAGCCACTTCTTCATCTTCTTCTTTGTGCCAAAAACTTGATGGTCTTCAAGATTTTCATGATTGCATTGATAAGTTGCTTCTTTTGCCGCTCACCCATCAAGCTATTGTTGACAACAAATCAGTTGATGAGTTGCTAGAAGGATCTCTCAAGCTCTTGGATTTGTGTACTATGGCTAAGGATATGATATCACAGATGAAAGAATGTGCACATGAACTCGAGTCATCGTTGCGCCGAAGAAGAGGAGATGACATTGTAGTTGATGTTCAAAAGTATATGAACTCAAGGAAGATGATGAAGAAGGAAATCCACAAGGCCTTGAAGGGAATGGAAAGAACAAGTTCCCAAAAAAGCAATGAAAATTCAGAAATTGTCAGTTTATTAAAAGAGGCAGAAGTGGTCACATATAGCACCATTGAATCCTTGTTGTCCTTTCTAGCTGGACCAAAGTTGCCATCAAAGATGAACAAATGGTCTTTGGTTTCTAAGTTGATGCAATCTAAGAGAGTAGCCTGCAAAGATGGAAACGAAGTAGAGATGGTGGATGCTGCATTAGATTCAATCATCAATCACAAATTTGATATCCTTGTGCAAGGTGAAGATGTGCAGAACTCACTGAAGAAATTGGAGTTGTGTATTCGTGACATCGAAGAAGATCTCGAGAGTCTATATCGACGTCTTATCAAGAACAGAGTCGCTTTTCTAAACATCCTAAATTACTAAGGATGAAAGCTTAGGAAATAGTTGCATAGTCCATTCCAATGGATCCATTTTTGTCAGATGTAAACACCACAATACATATACAAATACAGTTCATAACCTTTTTGCAAAGCAAACCATCCTCTTCTCTAGCTAACTTTTTGCAATATTAGTATTGTTGATAGCTAACTATTTGAATCCAAAGAGTAAGATCATAGCCAACTTAGTCTAAAGTGAACGACATAATCATGGAGATAAGATTAGGAAAATCTACGTCTGCTAGGGAGAGATTTCCACACTCTTATAAGGAATGGTTCGTTCTCCTTTCCAATCGACGTGGGATCTCATAATCCACCCCTCTTGGGGGCCAGCGCCTTCGCTAGCACACTACTTGGTGTTTGGCTCTTATCAAATACCATTTGTAACAACTCAAGCCCACCGCTAGAAGATATTGTCCTCTTTTGACTTTTCCTTCAAGGGCTTTCTCTCAAAATTTTAAAACGCGTCTATTAGAGTTTCTAGGAAGACTTAAACTGTGGTATGTTAACTAGAGGTTAATTAGTTAACCAAGGTTATCTAATGAAGCTAAGTATTCAAATTGGCATTGCTGTCAAATATTCCAATTGTCTCAGACATGGTGATGAGCACAAGAATCACATGGAAGCCCAGATCTGAATACGTTTAATTTAATATAGATATGAGTTGGAGACTTGGTAGAGAGGAAACATTGCCACAGCAATGTCCAAAACCAAATGGACGATACCTAAACGTGCGCGGATTCCTGAAAAGTCAAAGCAGATAAGGTTCCAATTGCCTCCGAATGTACTGACTACTTGTTAACGAGGTATGACCATTCGACAAAATCACGTATAGGTCTACTAGACTTGAATTGCCTCAAAATATATTACATGAGATGCGACTAGTTGTCAAATTCTCCCTACTCAAAAAGTTATATGCTATTTAAGCCGTTGTGTTGCCTTTAAATTATAGTTATATAACGTTGCTTTCAAATCTTTTACTTTCAAACTCGCTTTCAAAAATTTCTCTATTTTCTAAAACCTTCCTCTCAAAACAGGGTTATAAGCTTTAGTATATGTTTTCCGGTTGTAGGCGACGCAAATCCAAGTTGGCTTGACTCATTCCGTGTTGGGAGTGAGTGCCACACAATCACAAAGTACGCTACCAAAAAAAGTGTGATTGTAGCCGGGTGTAAACAAATAAAATTTGAAATCTATCATGGATTCGTCGAGTAGTCAAACTTTGTCAAATGTAAGAGGTTGAAAATGAGAGAATGAATATGGAAGCACCATTGCTTTCTGTATGGTGCTCTACAATCTACTGCATCGTATAAAGTATATAATAGAGGCATTGAGAAAGCAAGCACGAGCATCCCCAGATATCTCTGAAAATAGAAAATTAATTCAGTGCATTGGAGGAAGAAGATTCTCACACGGCTGCATGTGTAAAGCGACAATCTTGTCCTCTACACAAAGAGGTGGGAGGGAGACAAAACGTGGACATTGCTAAATCATTAATTTATTACAATTAGATGAGTTTGAGATTCCTTGTGTCTCCCTCGGTGATATAAATAGCCTCCTGAAGGCCAAAACATGAAGTCAACTTGAAACTCCTTTGGCTGTTCTACAATTCATTGGCTTAGCCTTTTGTAAAAAAGATGGATTCCTTTGCTGCCAACTCCAAGAAATCATTCCACATCCGTTCAAACAGTTTGCCCTCAAAGCCACATCCAGTTGTGGATGAAGTTAACGAACATCTCTGTAGATTGAAGGCCTCTGAAACCACTTCATCTTCTTCTTTGTGCCAAAAACTTGATGGTCTTCAGGATTTACATGATTGCATTGATAAGTTGCTTGTTTTGCCGCTCACCCATCAAGCTCTTGTTGACAACCAATCAGTCAATGACTTGCTAGAAGGATCTCTCAAGGTCTTGGACGTGTGTGCTTTGGCTAAGGATGTTTTATCACAAATGAAAGAATCTGTACATGAGCTCGAGTCGACTTTACGTAGAAGACGAGGAGACGACATCGTCGGTGACGTTCAGAAATATTTGAACTCAAGGAAGATGATAAAGAAGACAATCCACAAGGTCTTGAAGGGAATGGAGAGGCCAAGTTCCCAAAAAAGTGATGAAAGTTTAGAAATTGTTAGCTTGTTAAAAGAGGCAGAAGCTGTCACATGTAACAGCCTTGAATCCTTGCTATCATTTGTAGCAGGACCAAAGGTGCCATCAAAGATGAGCAGATGGTCTTTGGTCTCCAAGTTGGTTCAACCCAAGAAAGTGGCTACCAAAGATGAAGACTCAAATGGAAATGAAGTACAAATGGTGGATGCTGCATTGTATTCAATCACCACTCACAAATCTGGTTTCCTTGTGCAAGTAGAAGATGTGCAGAACTCACTGAAGAAATTGGAGTTGTGTATTCGTGACATCGAAGAAGATCTCGAGAGTCTATATCGACATCTTATCAAGAATAGAGTCTCCTTTCTTAACATCCTAAATCACTAAGGATGAGAGCTTAGAAATAGTATCATAGTCAAATAGAATCCATTTATGGGAAATGTAAACACCACAGTACATATACAATTTATACAAATACATTTCATAACTTGTGTGCAAATGCGAACTAAAATTTTGAATTCAATATCATCCTCATCTCTAGCTAACTTCTTGCAATATCAACCTTGTGTTTCTCTCTTCACGGTGAGATCCCACGACTGTTGGAGTGAGGAACGAAGCATTCTTTATAAGGGTGTGGAAACCTCTCCCTAGTAGACGCGTTTTAAAACTTTGAGGGGAAGCCCAAAAAAGACAATATCTGCTAGCGGTGGGCTTGGGCTTGGGCAGTTACTAATGTATTAGAGCCAAACATCGGCGGTATGCCAGCAAGGACGCTAGCCTCCAAGAGGGTGAATCGTGAGATCATATATTGGTTGGAGAGGGAAACAAAACACTCCTTATAAGGGTGTGAATACCTCTCCTTAGTAGATGCGTTTTAAAACCTTAACCTCATAAAGGAAAGCCCAAAGAGGACAATATTTGCTTGCGGTGGGCTTGCGCTGTTACAAATGGTATTAGAGTCAAACATCGGATGGTATGACAGCGAAGACGCCGGCCCCCAAGGGGGTGGATTGTGAGATCCCACGTTGGTTGCAGAGGGGAACGAAACACTCCTTATAAGGGTGTGAAAACCTCTCCTTAGAAAACGCGTTTTAAAATCTTAGGAGAATCCCATAAGGGAAAGCGTAAAGAGGACAATATCGGCTAGTGGTGAGCTTGAGATATTACATAAAACCGAGAGAAAATTGCAAACTGTGATAAAAAAAAAAGAAAAGACTGTTTCTCTCTTCCAAAATGATTTTCCCCTCTAGGCTTAAACTTTGGTATGTTAACTAGAGGTCAATTAGTAAACCATGGTTACTTAATGAAGCCAAGTATTCAAATTGGCATTGCTGTCAAAGATTCCAAGTGTCCAAACAATGGTGATGAGCACAAGAATCACATGGACGCCTGAAATTAATTTTCATGCAACGTTATGCAGGCTGTCTTTCATCTAACAGACAACTTGATTCAATTATATGTACAATAATACAGCTAATAAGGCTGCATATCATCACGAGGAACATTGTCGAGATATGATGCAAGATTGATTACCAATTTGATATACAAAATTGAAAACTATTCATTATGCCCCCCACAGTGGCAGACATATATCATTGTTTAGTTGTAATTTAATATAGATATGAGTTGGGGACTTGGTAGAGAGGAAACATTGCACCAGCAGTGTCTAGATCCAACCGGAAGATGCCTAAACATGCGCCAATTCCTGAAAAGTCAAAGCAGATGAGCCTCTAAACGTCTCCCTTGCTAACTGGTATATATTTGAGCAAATAAAGAGGGGAAGAACACAGAGATAGCTTATAGAGCTTGCAGTTGGTTGGATATTTGTAGTTAAGGTATGAAGGCATGTCGGTATGAACATTGGTTGGCTGTTCACCAAAGATCAGAGGCTGAAGCAACAAAGATATGACACTACAGCTATGGTTTATCCTGTTGATGGTTGTGGAATACAGCAGCAACGGTTATATGTATCAGTTTGAAGGGTAACAATCTTTGTTTGTTTGAATCATTGTTAGTTCCTTATATCTAATGCAACAAAATCCATGGCTTTTGGTTGGTATTAACTGCTCATGGTGATGCGTTTCATATGGCTATTATGTCAAGAACTATTGAGGTTGAGGATGCAAATAGAGCTGGGCGTTAATTAGAACTGTGGAAGATCTGTGGTGTAGAAGTAAGTACCATATTGGCTATGGGAGGGAGATGCCCATGGTATATATGTAAGGACAACTATTTCCACTAGGAGGAGGTTTTTTGGGGTGAAATCATCCCGAGGACTTATTCCTAAAGTGGAGAATATCATACCATTGCAAAAGTACGTGGAAGGTTTGTTGTTCTTAACAATTGGTATCAAAACTATGGTCTATACCTAGTTGCGTGTTTAGAAATGCTCTGAGTTTGAGAAAGGAGAAATAGTAGGTCTAAGTCGTGCTCTATCTAGGTGTTTTCCCAACTCGCTTTCATAAGAGCAAATATAAACTCTTCTTGTTAATTGGTGGAATTTGTGCTTATGTTTGGACTGTAACAACCCAAGCCCACCGCTAACAGATATTATCCGCTTTGATCCATTACGTATCGCCGTCAGCTTCACGGTTTTAAAACGCGTCTACTAGGAAGAAGTTTCCACATCCTTATAAAGTGCTTCGTTCCGCTCTCCAACCGATGTGGGATCTCACATGAATATTGTCTCGATGAGGAATTGTTGTTGTGAGTGGACATATTTGTTCGAAGGGAAGATTTTTAGGTGCAACAAAAGTTCTACATTGGCTAAGAAAGGGAAAGATCCATGGCACATAAGTGGACACAATTACCTCTATTGGTATGAGGCTTTTGGGTGAAACTAAAAGTAAAGCCACGAGAGTTTTTTTTCATCCTAAAGTAGACAATATTATATCATTGTGAAGATTTGTGGAAGGCTCGTTGTCCTTCAACGATCATGCTTATTATCCTACATTACTTATCTTGACAAGAAGAAAAGTCAATCACATCATGATGATTGAGAACATCATGAGTCAGCGTTTCTGATCTTGCCTTTCTTTGTTAGCAGAAATTAGAAAGGAAAAGGGAAAAATGTATTAAAATGTGAGATCTCACGTCGGTTAGGGAGGATAACGAAACATTCTTTATAAGGGTGTGGAAACCTCTCCCTAGCAGACGCGTTTTAAAAACCTTGAGGGGAAGCCCGAAAGGGAAAATCCAAAGAGGACAATATCTGTTAGTGGTGGACTCGGACCATTACGGTAAATGCCTTATGGTTCCATCCTTCCATGATTCAAGGACCTCAAAGTACCGAAGGCTGTCTTAATGTAATTTTATCAAATGTAAAAAGCTGGAAATGACAAAAATAAATATGGCAGCACCATTCCTGTAAAATGTCAACTCTGTCAACAGCACTCTTGTTTTTCATAATGCAAAGATTATTCAGCAATCTATTGCAGAATATGAAGTAGATAATAGAGGCATTGAGCAAGCGACTAAAGAGGGGAAAGCCCTTTACAATTCAATGCATTGGGAGGAAGAAGATTCTCACACATTTGCATGTGTAAAGCCACAGTCTTGTCCTCTGCAGAAGCAGACACAGTTCTATATTTTTATACAGCTCAATTGGCCTTGTATATGTAGGAGACACTCGATTTCAATACAGCTATGAGTTATGAACAAATGGCTTTTGTGTCAGATACATCCAATGGATTATAAAGAAATTAGTATCAATAATGGTGATAAAAAAGAGGTGGGAGGGAGACATGGCATGAACATTGCTGAATTATTAGCTTCTGCAGATTAATTACTTAATTATAATTAGATGAGCTTGAGATTCCTCTTGCCTCCCTTAGCCAAGTTATATAAATAGCCCCTTGAAGCTCCAAAGATGAACTCAAGCTGAAACTTCTTTGGCTGTTCTTTTGTAAAAAAAAAAAAAAAATGGATTCCTTTGCTACAAACGCACAGAAATCATTCCACATCCGTTCAAACAGTTTGCCTTCAAAGCCACATCCAGTTGTGGATGAAGTTGATGAACATCTCTGCAGATTGAAGGCCTGTGAAGCCACTTCTTCATCTTCTTCTTTGTGCCAAAAACTTGATGGTCTTCAAGATTTGCATGATTGCATTGATAAGTTGCTTCTTTTGCCGCTCACCCATCAAGCTATTGTTGACAACAAATCAGTTGATGAGTTTCTAGAAGGATCTCTCAAGCTCTTGGATTTGTGTACTATGGCTAAGGATATGATATCACAGATGAGAGAATGTGCACATGAACTCGAGTCATCGTTGCGCCGAAGAAGAGGAGATGACATTGTAGTTGATGTTCAAAAGTATATGAACTCAAGGAAGATGATGAAGAAGGCAATCCACAAGGCCTTGAAGGGAATGGAAAGAACAAGTTCCCAAAAAAGCAATGAAAATTCAGAAATTGTCAGTTTATTCAAAGAGGCAGAAGTGGTCACATATAGCACCATTGAATCCTTGTTGTCCTTTCTAGCTGGACCAAAGTTGCCATCAAAGATGAACAAATGGTCTTTGGTTTCTAAGTTGATGCAATCTAAGAGAGTAGCCTGCAAAGATGGAAACGAAGTAGAGATGGTGGATGCTGCATTATATTCAATCATCAATCACAAATTTGATATCCTTGTGCAAGGTGAAGATGTGCAGAACTCACTGAAGAAATTGGAGTTGTGTATTCGTGACATCGAAGAAGATCTCGAGAGTCTATATCGACGTCTTATCAAGAACAGAGTCGCTTTTCTAAACATCCTAAATTACTAGGGATGAAAGCTTAGGAAATAGTTGCATAGTCCATTCCAATGGATCCATTTTTGTCAGATGTAAACACCCATACATAGACATATATATACAAATACATTTCAACCAAGATTGTGAATTCTATATCATCTTCTTCTCTAGCTAACTTCTTGCAATATTAGTATTGTTGAGAATGCGAACATAGCCTTATGTGAAATAGAAGTGAGGACGATCCTTAGTATGTAAGGATACTAACTCCATTGGTACGAAACGTTTTGACTTGTATCGTAGACTTAGTCCAAAGTAAAGACTTCCCATCATCCATCTCACCATTTCGGTCTTTTAACTCTACACGTTATTTGTTTTAACTGTCAGGATTGCAAACTGTTTACGAAAACGAAGTGTAACAGCTCAGGCCCACCACTAGTAGATATTGTTAGGAATCACGACTCTTCATAATAATACGATATTGTCCACTTTGAGCATAAACTCTCATGGCTTTGCTTTGGGTTTCCCCAAAAGATCTCATTCTAATGAAGATGTATTTCTTACCTATAAATCCATGATCATTCCCTAAATTAGCCAACGTGGGACTCTCTCCCAACAATTCTCAACAGATATTGTCTGCTTTCACCTGTTGTGTAACGTCATCAGCCTCACGGTTTTAAAACATGTCTGTTAGGGAGAGATTTCCACACCCTTCTAAAAAATGCGTTCCCCTCTTCAACCGATGTGGGATCTCAC